CCAAATCAACACATTCCCGTGGAATGTTTTAGTTTTCAGCAAAGCAACATTTTCCTATGGAAAAGCCTTCCATCAGAAAAATCTCCACTACCCCTCAGTCAGGCGGTTTTCCCATGCTGGGGCCCTACAGCATGCTGAAGTTTCCTCTGAGTTATGCCATCAGAGGAAAAACAATTAATTACCCAGCTCGGGTGGAAATCAAGTCCCATTTGTCTTTAAAAATTGATAGAAAATGCCCAGACATGTTGGAGTTGATCCAGAGGTGGCTGCTAGTGCCGGGTATCTCACTTTACATGAACGAAAGCTCACAAGTTAGTACCATTAGTCTTTAGTTTTCTTGGCTGCTTGTTTTCAACACAAATGTGAATGCTTGCTTTGCCCCTCCGTGGCAGAGCGCTAATGCCACAGTAAGAATGACTGATCATTTCAGATGGAGTTTGATCCTGCCCTTGACACACCTGAACTTGCATTTGCTGATGGTCAGTGTGATCTGCTACTGTTGTATACGTTTCGACCAAATGCTTGTAACAGTGTGAATATTCCTTTGGCCGAGGGCATACTTGAAATTGCAGTGCGTTTTCTGCAGATTAAGCCGACGATCCTTAACAGGTAACTGTTGGTGTTTCCACATATCTTCTTACCCTTAAACTGTTGTAACTCATGTTCTTTCAGTGTGTTCATTTGAAACTCCAGCTCTTTATGATTCATCCATTTTTTTTCCCCAAAAAATATGTGAAAGCTGTGTTTGTTTCTGCTACTGGGAGATTAAGTCAATCTGTGTGTAACAGAAATACACTGGGCCACAAGTTTCTTTGTACTGGTATAAGAGTTGTTCAAACTAGTTACTATTTTTCTTCTAATAGCCATATGGGGATTTATTAGAAGTTGACTTTAGTCAGTGCGCTTAGCTAATAAGTTGAGGGGAAAACCACTGCCATTAATAGTGCTAATTGTATAAATATTAATCTTATTCACAGCATGTTTTTATTACAAATGAAAATTCAAAAAACAAGTTTCATTTTTATTTTGCCTAAATACAAAATGTGCTGTTAACTTCTACAGGAACACCAGTCATTGCTCTCCAGCAACTTAAAGGCTAAATAGAGAAGAAACAGTTCATATGAAAAAATGCCTGCCATGGCCCAAATGGCTTTTTATTATGGATGGTCCTTAGAAGAATGAACTTTTTCAAATGGTTTCTTAATCTGGAACCAGGGGGAAGCAGTTTCTGAACACTTTAAAGTGAGAGATAGTTTAACTCTGTCATTTGTCAACTTGAAATATGTTTTAATAATTAATACCATCTGAGATTTGATGTGCACGAGTTTGGGAACAGAAAGACAATTCATCCAACACTGATAAGGCTTAGCTGAACTTCAGCAAAGCCCTGCAAGCACAGAAGTTTGTTGTTTGAAAGGCTTCACCGATATCTGTGACACGTTATTTACATGCTTGAATTCTTTAGCTTCCTTCCCTGAGAAGATACAGTTAATTTTCTCAGTTCATGTGGTTTTGTGCTGAATCGGATTTTTTTTTTTTTTTTATGAGAGCCTTGGGCCTTTTTCAAGTTGGAAAATACGGATAAATCACTATTGCTTTGTTTATTTAGAAGAAACATTTTGTCTATTCCAATATATAAGAGTTTTTCCTATCCTTTCTTTAACCCCACTTCCACCCACGTACAGGAATATCACAGTCTGGGAGTAAATTTTTTACTACAGCTTCATTTCGTAATTCCACTATTTTTTACTTGGGCTTTTGATACATATAGACATGTCATTCTATGAATTCTGATTCCTGCGGCACGTTTGTACAGTATGAAGACTACATTATTGCTTTCCTCTTGTAGCTTAACATGTGCTGTCCCAAAGACTATTCTGGACTCTGATGGGATATAAAAATGTGACCCTATCCTACACAAGTGTGAATGCCTTCAACAGCCCTCGACCTTCATGTGAGTTGAGGAGCTGCGCTTGAAGGACTGAGGCTCACTCTAAGAAATGCAAACAATTGAATACGTTAAGCTGTGTGAAGCGAGTGTGCTTGTTTAGACGAGTGCATGCCACAGTACACTTTACCACTTAGGAATGTATGCCTACTTAACTTCTTTTTGGTCATTTTGGTCTCTTTCTCTGTCTCTCAACTCCCCTTTTTGTTCAGAGGTATAGAAGGCTTTTATTACTCATGTAAGTGCCTTGGATCCTTTTACAGTCCATATTTTAACACTGTATTTAAATGAGCCACACAGTGAAGTTTTTATATGTTAGCACAAGAGTCTCTGCAGAATAATTATAAAAGTAGTGTGTTTTTTATATATAGCATTTTATCAGAACTTTGCTGATGCTGTAAATGTAATGGACAACATCTGTTTTCCATTTCACTGCATTTTGTGTAGTGGTTGTCTGCTCACGAGGAGAGAAGAGTAACTTTGAATAAAAATGGCTTGCTTCACGTTTTGCTTCCAAAGGTGAAGGTGATAAGGGCAGAGTTGTTTTATAATAATCTTACTGGAAGGTATTCAGTCTCTTACTTTTAATTTGGGCATAGAGTAATCCTTTATATGTTGATAATGTAGTTTTGTGGTGCTAATTTCAAGAAAAGCTTAGCGTAGTAAAATATATAGGATTGTGTTTAAGCTTTAGAGAACTTATCTGAAGCCTATTTCACAATTGTAGAAAAGATCAACAATCAGTCTCTTATATCTTCCTCGACAGTGCTATAACAAATCTGTGTGTTTTTAGTTATTTCCTCTAGATACTGTGCTTTTAAAACAGTTACTGTGTCTGAGCCCTAGGATCTAATCAGTGAACTCTTACCTATAGTACCTTTCACATTGAGGACTCCCCCTCGGAACAAGGAGGGCAGCAGACCTGGAGGCACCAGTGTGTGGATTTCCCCAGGACATAATGAGCTGCGCAGTAGTGGAAGGAGGGGCATATCTGGCAAAAAGTAATTTACATTGTTGTGAAAAGTGCAAGGTTGCCTTTTATGTCCAGGAAGTTTGGTTGCTTTTTAATTTTTCCCTGAATAGCTCCACGCAAGAAATAGCAGAATGCTCTATATGTTTGCGTCTTGGAGAGCCTTGGAGAGCGAGGAGCTCCCTGCGGACCGTTCTTTCCTTGCATTCTTTTCTGCTGGATCTCCTGTTGTAGCATGGGCGTCTAGTGAAATACCCCAGGCTGAAGCTGCTGTTTGTTATGGATATAGCATTCTCCGAGGAGTAATTGGCTAGAATTCCTGTTTGTATAAAGAACACATAACGTTAGGAAGTTGGTTTTCTTGCTCTGGTTAGGGCTTTTGATCTTGATGTTCTCCATCGGTCTCTGATTGGGGCGGTGCTAGCAGGCAGCTTTTGCTCTGAGCCCCTGCTTTGGACTATATGCATTAAAGAACATCAACAAATCCTTCTGCCTGAGTGATAGGCTGTGCGGAGGGCACTGTAGGAGGAACAGTTCTGCTTTAGCAGAGATTGTTACGACGATTGCGTTGGCTTTACATCTCCAGGTCGTCTTATGCTGCTGTTTACCTCACAGATAAGTGATCAAAATACATCTACGAAACCTATTTTCCTTGCTCAGTGTTTTGGTAAAACCCCTCTTCCTGTAGCCCTCTAGGGCCTACCGTTTTTCCATCCCATCAGGCACAATTTCCCTTCACCTTCAAAACTCTGCAGGGCCTCTCCTTGCATTGCCTGTCCTCTCTCACATGCTCTGTAGAATTTGCCTTTGCCGGTGAAGCTGGACAGTTCATTGCCAAATGGCTACGTTACCAAACGAGGACTTGTGTGGACTTCTTCTGCTTCTGATCCTTGTTCTCCAGATCTGTAGATACCTTGTTGTCTTCCTTGAGCTCCCTCTTTGAAATTCTTTGCTCTGGTGCAAAACGGACAGAGGCGAGGGAAGTCGCCTGTCAACTGGTGGCTACAGGTCTGTCTGTCCGTCCTGCTGGGTTTTTACATTCTCCCATCTGTTTTCTGGCTTGCTTGAATTGCTGTTGAGGTTGTTTGAGAGGATGCCATTTTTTTCCTACTCCACATCACATTGCCTCTAGTGCAGTGAGTTTTCTCCTGTGCAGTGCCTCCAAACTAAAAACATACCGTGTTTGTTGCCTTGTAGCCTTTGTCTCCTCTACTAAACTTGCTGGCCCAAGCAACTAAAATTATCGCTAGGAAAGTAAGCTACAAAAAAAACAACAGAGGAAGCAAAGTTGAGGAGACTGTACCGTTATTTCCTCCTCTTCCTCCTCTTTCCCAGTAAAGGTTGGGTATGTTGCCCAGTTCCAGCCGTATCTGGCAGAGGCGAGGTGTCCTAGAGAGGACCACCCCAAGCGCCTGTGTGAGCAGGGGACTGCGTGGAGGTGGAAGCTGGCAAGGGCTGCAGCCACCACTGGCAGTCGTAAGCACCCAGCCCGCATTCACGGACAAGACTGAGCTTCATTAATTTGAGGCCTTGCGGGACAGCTCATTTACCAGCGTGTTTTCTGATGCAGTGAGATGCATCTCTTAATGTATGGTGCTTCCGTGGATGTAGTAGTCCTGTGTAAACGCAGCAACTGTGTAATGTTTGGCTAAAGCTTTCTCATGTTGATGCTTTAGCTGGGACGGTGGGTTGTTATGCCTGAGTAAACGCTATAAAGCATTTTCTTTTTTAGCAGGTGGCTTTGAAAAAAGTTGTATATTTGGCTGTACTGTGAATTCAGTAAATATTTTTGACGTTGATTTGTTTCTTTTTTTATTTATTTCAAACTGCTTTTTTTCTCCCTCTGAATTAGAGCGTGGGTGTGTGCTATGCTGAAGATTTTTTTTTTCTCTTGTTCAGAGAATGTGAATCTTGAATCAAATTAACCTATTTTTAAAGTTAAATTTTAGGCCCTTGCTTGAAGGCAAACGTGCCATGAAGTTACCCTAGCTTTAAAAACGAAACGGATTTCGTACAAATAGTGACTTGTAATTATTAAATGTAAATGAGATTTTCTTTACACTTATTTCTTATTACCTTTAGCACATCAGGTCCACCCATTTGGCCAGGAAGCACCTTTTTCAAGAGAAATGGAGCCCTTCTACAAGGTAGGTGATGGATAATACATCTTAGAGTAACTGTTCTGTTTAACAAATACCTCTTGAAAATTGCACAGCTTTTAAAATATTCACTGGGGAAGAAATGGAACAGTTATTTTTATTTTTGTTGTTTAACCTTTTTCCTTTATTGTGTATCTGATGCCATGAAAATGGTGATTTATTGCATAAACTGAGTGTAGTCCATGAAAGTTACTGCTTTTTTTCTTTCCTCAGATTATTATTTGCTTATTGTAAATTAATTAAGGCAAAGGCTTTTTTTTTTTTTTTTTTTCCTTTGTGCAGAACAAAGAGTGCCCAGAACAAAACAGTTCAGCTAACCAGCAGCAGTTACAGCTGTCTGGATGAAGCAGGATTGTTCTTTGAGAGAGATCCATTCTTTTAGTCCCTAATTGTGCTGATATCAAAGTATCCCTGTCGGTAGGGTATCAATGCTGTGGTGAGGAAGACAGTAACAGAAGATTTGTCTCAGGAAACCCACCAGATTTAAGGGTGTTTATCTTCATAGGGGAATTTGACATGTCTTATTTCCATTAGATGGACAATATGAACAAAAGCTATACGTGTACAGATTTGATAGGTGAATGTTTTCAGTCAGACTTTTAAAAATGATTATTCATTGCTAAGTGT